TAAATCTAGCGGTTCTTTTGTTTGTGTCGCAAGTTCAGTGACGCAGGTAGTGACGATTCTCTCCAGCCAATCCGAGATCAGTAGAGTTTACACGTCACGTTTTGGTAACGGTACGGTTCACTTGGAACCCCAACCGAGGTGGTACTAAAAAAAAGTACCAGGTACTGTACTCAGTGGAAAACCCCCCAAAAGTGAACCGTACCGAGCCGTACCATGCAGTGGAAAAGCGCCATTAGAAGCTGTCATTACCATTTGATGACTAGCCAAACTGATGGCATTGCTGTTGATGAATTTCTCACATGGTTCTCTGACAGATGGAGAGTTTTGGCATTTTACACAAATTGGATACAGTTTAAACGCACTTCTCTTTAAAATGGGGATTTTGTTCTGTCTCACATCAGAGGAGTTGACTCTTGTTGTATCCAACAATCATGCACCAATGTCATAATTCAGTCATAAACTAAATGATATTCTATTAATGTAGAAAAAATAATTAATTAACAAAATGTAATACCGAAAACTGAATATTTTGGCATGTCCTAGCTTTTGTGCACAACCTTATTAACACATGATCGACTGCCTTTACGAAGTTCAACCTTTCCGCCATGTTCCAGTTATTGCAAGACAAAATCTTCAAACAAGTAAAGGTTCCTCGTTTTAGAATTCCCCACTTAGGTGATTCTTATAGTGGGGATTTCTGAATTTGAAGGGGGAAATGGGGGGAGGGAGGCATTTTTTTTATAAGAAATTATTATCTTTCCTAAATGTTTCCTCAAAGTATTGATTATTATTTATATTGTCAGGAAGATATAAAAGTTACAAAATTTGTAATCGCAAAACTGTAATGTAGAAGGTGGTATAGGCCAGGGTAAATTCAATGTGCAATAGTTTACACGGCCCAAGGAAGCTTGATTTCAAACTTAAATTTGAATTTATTTTAGCTATAAAAAAGACAAGTAAACACAGTACTAAGATCAGAACAAATATTAAATTCAATTCAAGTTTATTTGTATAGCGCTTTTCACGATACAAATTGTTGCAAAGCAACTTTACAGCAAATTAGGTTTCTACAATATTTAGTAGTAGCTTATCAGTGGTGATTGTCAGTTAATGTACATATGGCAGAAATGTACGGAAAAATCAATTAAAGACGTAATCAAACAAGCTTACAGCACCTGGTATTCCCAGGCGGTCTCCCATCCAAGTACTAACCAGGTCCGACCCTTCTTAGTCTCCGAGATCAGACGAGGTCGGGCGCAGACAGGGTGATATGGCCGTAAGCAAAATATTATTATATTTATCATAATAAATATATTATGAGCAATAGCATAAATACATACAACAGAATAAATATGCATATGAAATAATAAGCACTGCTTTAAGTTTTTAGGTAGGTCTAACAGTTGTATTCTGGTTCAGAAATTTAAAAAAGTAATCAAATGTAAAATAACACTTAATTGTCTTCTCTCTATAAATAAATAGAGATTAACCCAGTGAGTGATTTTGTTTTTGTTTTTTGTTGTTTGATTAAAACAGACAGTAACAGGTATATACAGTAGGCTGCTGTCACTTTAAGACTGAATGCAAGGATCCAGTATACTGTTAGACATACCTTTTGCGTTCACTTAAGACATAACCGACTGGCATTAAACAGGCATTTTGACAATATTGTGTGTATTTGACAGTTTAAGTGTAATAAATGGTGAAAAATTACTTGCGAGCTGTCAGAGAGTTAGCTCTGTGTGCGTGCGCTTTGGGTGTGAGAGCACAGAAAAGAGCACGTGAGTACTGCTTTGAGTTCTCTTGAAAAGGGAAGACGCAATAGCATTTGTGCCATTTGTGAAATTACAGTCTCACAGAAAGTATTTTCTAGTTTACTCATTCAGCCTACATGCTTTAGGGTGAAAAAAATGTTTGAGGGAATTTCCCACATTATCGTTATTTTTATATTCATTTTATATAGAGCTTGACATTTTTGCAGGTTTTGAAACCAAAATGTTGGACACGTCTAAATACAATTTAAAACCCTGATCTGTGTAATTGTCATTTTCTAAACATTAAAGGGGTCATATGATGCGATTTCAAGTTTTCCTTTCTCTTTGGAGTGTTACAAGCTGATTGTGCATAGATAAGATCCCTGAAGTTGCAAAGACTAAAGTCTCAAAACCAAAGAGATATTCTTTATCAAAGTTAAGACTCTGCCATGCCCCCCTAAAACGGCTCGTTCTAACACGCCCCCACATATCTACCTCACTATGTGGAAATATTTGCATAATGTGCCCAAATGTGCATGCAAAGAAAGAAGGCGTGGTTTCAGTAACCGCAGTTAGTGTTGAAGCAGCCATGTCAGGGAGACACTGTGTGTTTCTAGGCGAAAGCAAAATCACTTTATTTGGCCTTCCGAAAGTAGATGCATTTAGGAATCTTTAAGATCACTTACATGGATGACCGTTTCATGAACCTAGGAGAGGAGGTAATTCTGACTTGCTATGACAATGCAAGTCAGCATTGACAATTGACAATTGTCAATGCTATGACAATCTGGCGCTTCTGAATCAGCTACTGTTTTGTTATTAGTTTAAGTATGTGCTATTGACTGTTCAAATGCGGAGTTTTGCGCATCGTGTGTGTGTGTGTGTGTGCGAGAGAGCGAGAGAGAGAGCGAGAGAGAGAGAGCGAGAGAGCGAGAGAGCGAGAGAGAGAGGGAGAGAGGGAGAGAGGGAGGGGGGGGTCACATCACAGTGGAGTCAGAGAGAGAGGGGGTCACATCACAGTGGAGTCAGCTGTCTTAACCGTGGCTTGTGTACTACAAACACATACCAGCTTCATCACTGTGTCTGTCACGCGACTCTGTTCCCCTTTCTCTGTTACACCAAATACACCAAATAATGATCTTTAAAAAAGCATCATACGACCCCTTTAAATAAACATCAAAATACAAAAAAATGTAATGTATACAATTAATAATATATAATATAACCATGTGTAACAAGTTGCTAATAAAGCTGTCATGCTAAGGACACTCACATTCACAGTTTGAATATTTCCATGTCAAAGCTGAAATGCAGAACTGAACCGTCCCGGTTGTTTCATGTGTTCTTGCTTTTTGGGGATGTCATTGAGTTGCTCATTATATAACCTTACGCAATTTGGAGAAAGATCAAATAGAAGACCAGATTTCACCAGCTTTCCTTACGAACCCAAATATGCCCTCTCAGCACTGATAACACTGCAACACCAACCTCGACCTTAAAGGACTTTTAGTACTAACTGCAATTACAGCGCATTAATTATTTAAACATTTTAATTTAATGAACACATTTTGATGAACGCAAGCATGAAATCAGTATATGAAATGCCAAAATTAAATTCTATATTTATTTTTTTATTTTGTTGTTAAAGGTTCTTTTGTGGAAATATATCATTGTGAATTCATTTCCTCCTGTGAGCATTTGTTATTTTCTCATCAGGCTGTTTTTATGCTTTAATATCAGGTGTGATTTTTGGATTCATATTACAACTGTATCTCAGCTCTACTCATCGGCTGCTGCAGATCAGCTGCATGAATCATTTATGCTGATACTAATATTATGGTGCTCATAGGTTCTACAGTATTAGCTTGTGGACCAACATTATTTGCTTCTGGACTCGTCTTGTTGCTCCTCCACCCCAGTAAAAGACACACACACACCTAAACACCAACATTATCTCAGTGTTGATGCTGCAAACTGATGAATATTTGATTCTGCTTCATCTTCTGTGTCTATATGAGCGTGCCCAGATATGTGAAAGTGCTTGCATTTGTGTATGTGTGTGTGATCCTGATGGTAAAGAGATTTCTTTCTGTATTCTCCCTTCTTGCATTTTTGCGCTTAGTACACAAGTCTTGCAAGAATGCCTTGAGGGAAGGACGGTGGGCTTTGCTGGGGAGGTGGGCTGGGTGCTGGAACAAGCAAAAGCCTTTGTATTACCTTTTAAAGACAAGCAATTATCGTGACCTGCTCTGCCTTCCTGTGGGGGTTCCACCTCTCCTCGAGAGCAGGCCAGGCGGCTTCGACGTATGTGTCAGTGTTTGGAAGTGACAGGGCATTAGTTTGCACAGCCCAACTCATCAGAGCGCCTTCAAGTCAACAGTGACAGTGAGGGTGCGTTTAAGCATAAACTAGTAATAATTAAGTTTATTTAGTTTAAGACGATTTGTTTTGGATTCTTTAGATTCTGGTGGATCTGTTTAGAATATTTTATGAATTATTACTGCAGTCTTCAGTGTCACTTGATACTTCATAAATCAATCTAATATGCTGATTTGGTGCTCAAGAAACATTTCATATTATGATTAATATTGAAAACGGCTGTGCTGCTTAATATTTTTGTTGAAACTGAGATGAGTTTTTTTTTTTTTCGTTCTATTCATCGTTCTTTCATTAATAGAAAGTTCAAAAGAACAACATTTAGGCCATGTGAAATATAAATCTTTTATATCTTTAGAAATGTCAATTTTTAGAAATGTCTAATTTAATGTGTCTTTGCTGAATAAAAGTATCAATTTCTTTCAAAAAAATCTTACTGACTTCTGAACTGTACTTTATAGTGGTATACAATATTAAATAGTTTTGTGTGTTAGCGCATAAGGATATACAGCAGGTCTTGAGATGACATCCAAATTTCAATAGTCAACACCAGTAGAATTTCATAATTGATACCAGGTTTTGTTTTTTGAAGTATGAATCAAATGTAAAATAAAGACTTAAGTTAATATATGTCTATATTGCTGTCTATATCTCTATCTCTATTGCAGTCTAGGCTATATTTCTACATAGTATATACAGTATATATAAAAAGTATGTATTTCTATATTGCTGCAAAAACTCAAAACAGGATGAGCAAATGCAAAAACTCGAAACAGGATGAGCAAATGAGTGTGACTTGTATTGTGTGCTGTACAAAATGTAAATGAAGACAGGAATTGAGGCTTTCTAACTTTCTTTTCTTCTTTTTAGAGGTGGATTTGCAAGGCTGCTGTCCACACATCCGGTTTGTAGTCCCTCCGAAAACCACACACTGGGTGGCCATTATGCAGAGAGGGAAGTGCACCTTCAAGGAGAAGATCCTTAAGGCAGCTGCATTTAATGCCTCGGCTGTCATTATCTACAATAACAGCACCAAAGAGGACACAGTCACGATGGCTCATGAAGGTGAGTGCCATAATCAATGTATTTTCATTATGACTAATGCAACTTTCTCCTTCTAATCTGCGCCGTGTACTTAGTGGCATGTAGACTTTTCCAACTTCTATGGTCAATTCCATTAGACAGGACTCAAAGCTGTTGTAGTAAATTTAACACTGCATGACTGTTTTTGGATGTTTTTATTGGACTGCAAAAATCTTTTGTCTTGGTCAAAAATATAGGAAGTGGTAGTTGTTATTTCTTGACAGAGCATGGCGATTTTACAGATGCATCTGACTGGTTAGTTTAAGGTCTTTGTAATGCTTGCAGCATATTTTAATGCAGTGAGGTACATTATCTGGAAAAATCATTGTCCAAGGACTAAATGGGAGGGTGTGCATCGTGTGTGTGTGTGTGTCAGTACAATAGAAAAACAGTTTTATTCTGCAGCAAAATTTGCAAAGTAAAGCTAACTGCAGAATAAAACTAGTCAAAACTCTTTTGTGTGAATGTGTTCTGATGTATGGTTTATGAGGACACAAATGTGTGTCCCCATGAACCAAATGGCTTAAAATCATACTAAACAGTGTTTTTTTTTTAAATCTAAAAATGCAGAAAGTTTTGTGAGGGGTAGGTCAAGTGGGTAGAAAAAACAATTTGTACAGTATAAAAAACATTATGCCTATGGAGTCCCCGTAAACCACATATGCAAATGTGTGTGTGTGTAGCTGTCACTTACACTAGGAGAGTTTTGAGTAGGGGTGCGCCGATCAGATATTCAGTATCGGTATCGCTCCTATACTGACACTTTCTGCTGGATCGGGGTATCGGTCAGACGAGACCGATCCAAATCCGATATTGTGCGTATACTATTCTGTGTTATTGTTAAGCCTTACGAAAGGCACAAAAACATTAGAAAGCACCAGAAAGTTTCCATGCACTATATTTCAAGTGTTCTGAAACCGTTCCATAGTTTAATGTGAGGTACAGATGAATATGTAAGTCGTTAAATTCAAGTTCTCGTAAACTCTTCTCTCCGCTGCGGCTGTCAGTCATCCTCCATTCAGTATTCAAACTGCGCGTCGCGTTCGGTTGCGACAGTCAAGACGACGAATCTCTCTCTAGGATGATACAATGTTCCTATTATTATACTTGATCTGTAGATTAACATCAGTGGATTTGCTTAAAAGGACTTGATCTTGCTGGAGATTTGTGCTAATTCTAAATCATGTTACTTTCTACCGGGTGTCTGTTAGAGATCACTCACTACACTGGAGTAGAGAGCACTATGAATTGTTCTTCACGCGCACAGTAACTGAAATTTAAAACTGTTAAAAGAAAAGGCTCAATAAATGAACACACAGATATAATACAGTACGCATCAATATCTCTTCCCTTTGTGCTTTGAACTTTTCTATGCAGAGCACTGCGCGTTGTGACTCCGTGTTGGTTCAAGTGCATCATTTTGCGCACAGGATGCGCATAAGCGCTTTGAGCCGCTCTGTATTGGAGCCTTTCATGTTATAATACTTTTGCGCAATGAAAGATTGTTAATAGCCTTTCTTGTTCTGTCTTATCTATCATATGTTGCTGCCTCATTACTGTGCTATAAATGTAAAATAAATGTATTTAATTTATTGCATATATTTATATATAATTATATTTACTTGTTTTTCATGAATGTATATTACAATACAAAGAGCAATGTGTAACATTTTACCAGATTACACTTATTTACTTTTATTTTTTCCCCCACTAAATAATGTTTTTTTTCTTTAAATGTTTAGATTTTATAAAATTATTGTGAACTCATTTTTGTAGAGTAACTTTTGCTGTTGAATTATCCACTAACCTAGTTTATAATAGTATTTTTCTCATTTATTATGATTATATATTTTTTTATTTGTTATTTTTCTTTATATTGAAGTTGTCTATATTTAGTAGATTGTGTGTAACACACAAAAGAGTGATGATCAGGTCAACACACACTGAGGTATAGAAAAAAATAAATAAAAAAAATACCTGTGCCGGTATCGTATCGGTATTGTCCGATACTCAGAACTTTTGGTATCTAATCGGTATCGGTTCTGAAAAAATTGTATCGTGCCACCCCTACTAAAAGTAACCTAACAGTAGTCAGAATACATTACCAAATGTGTGTAATCCAACAGATTACGAGCAACCGCTTCATTTCAATGCCCATTACATTCCATTAATGTTTACTCAGACCACACAGATGGTAACCGGTAACCGGACAACTGCACCACAGTATATCAAGCTATATATAATACATTATGGATTGTTTATTATGAATTATGCAATTGTATAGGGGTGTCGAAAATTAATCGTTTCTACGATGCATCGCGATGCAGTCGAGGACGATTCGGTGTCGATTCAGTAACAGACCATAACCTATTATAACGTACTGATGCTTTTCTGACGTCATTTGTTGCATACGTGTTGCATACGTCGGTAGCATACATTAGGCGTGTTCGGCTTGAAGCGTGCTGCGCAGAATGATCAGTGTATGCAGTGTATGACAGCAAGAGCGATAAGAGAGCAGACGGATCCTTATGCTTTCGAATCGCTCTCACGGGTGATGTCATACACTGATCATTCTGCGCAGCACGCTTCAAGCCGAACACGCCTAATGTATGCTACCGCGACAAAGCACGTATGCAACAAATGACGTCAGAAAAGCATCAGTACGTTATAATAGGTTATGGTCTGTTACTGAATCGACACCGAATCGTCCTCGACTGCATCGCGATGCATCGTAGAAACGATTAATTTTCGACACCCCTATACAATTGCATAATTCATAATAAACAATCCATAATGTATTATATATAGCTTGATATACTGTGGTGCAGTTGTATCATGTCCGGTTACCATCTGTGTGGTCTGAGTAAACATTAATGGAATGTAATGGGCATTGAAATGACTGTGTCAGCGGTTGCTTTGACCAAAATGTTTTTTTTTTTTTATGAAAAAAATTATAATAACAAAAATATGTTTTTGCTAAGCACAGCAACATTTTCCCCCAAACTGTCTGCTGTCCACTGCTCAAAACTAGGGGTGGCACGATACCATTTTTTCAGAACCGATCCCGATCCGATACCAAAAGTTCTGAGTATCGGACAAT